GGATAAATAGTGTGTTTTGGATGCGTGATAAGAAACCAACTCCAGGTCTTTATGCCTAATCTAGACAACTGTACTTCTTTCTTTACCCCTCTTTGTGACATGCCATTTATTTGCTGACCTATTAATTTTTTTCAGAGAAAAGCTTCCATTCTTTTTTGGAGGCACGAAAGCTACAAAGAACTTGACTGATCCCTCAGGAATGCTTTTTAAATCTCTGATCTTGACATACACAGAGAAGTGTTTCATCAAGTTTTTGTGTGTTCTAAGAATTATTTGGAGTAGACACTGCTTTCAACAGGTCCAAGAACTGGTTCAGACTAATCTGTTTCAGATTACACTGTAGTGTAGATGCATAGTAGATGAAAGAGTGGAATTGTGGGATCAATACCCCCAAGATATTGTCATTGAAAATTTAGTAGAGCAACAGTGTAGGAAAAAGAGCATCACTGTTAACTGGAGTGTCACCGTTAACTTGTATTGACCTTTCATCAGCAATAAAGGGACAAAAGCAGTTTTGTTGGTTTCTATATCATCTCTGAGTTGATGTTTATAACAGTTACGAAGGTGTTCATTGCTGCAGTACCAAGCCACTAATTTTCCTTGATTTGTTCTTTGAGTTCTCCAGCACTAACCTGCACTTTTTTGTTGATCAGCTTTATCCACACCAAAGCAATGAATCCTGCATTTTTGCATTCTGCAGGCACAGTTACCTTTGAGCTGTGCTTGTAACTCTTCGGTTACTGGAAAGGCCCCTGCACCTATGTGTATCCTACCCGGCCCTTTAAGGAAGGTTTGAGGTAGAAACTGAGAACAAGGTACAACAGCAAGGGCAGAATGTGTTTCTAAAAGTTCCTTAATAGTACTCACTTCACACACAGACTTTCAGGGCTTCTGATAGAGCATTGAAAAGCTGGGGGGGGGGGGTGGGGGGGGGGGGGGGGGGTTGGCAGCAGGGGGCAAAGTGGGGAGTTGTGTGACTCCAAAGCAGGGCAGAGTATTAACCTGCCAGACAAGCCTGATCTCTGAAAGCAGAACTGCAAGCTATTTCCCACCTAGTGCTGAGGGATCTATTTCTGCCCTTTCGCCTCCCCCGGATAACCCTGCTTCAGGCCAGTGCTTCTCCTTGGTAAGGTGGTTACCCTTGCTCTGTGCAATGTGCTTTTTCCCAACAGCCATTGCATGACTCAGAGGGATTTAGTCATGGGGCTGGGGGGAGGGAAAGACGTAAACAGGCTTTTCCCTAATGAGCTGTGACGCCAGCTGGAGAGGGGGAGAATCCTGCTTTTCTCCTGTCCGTTGCTCTCTGAAACTACAGAGGAGGAGGAGGGGGAACTGGGTCCCCCCCTCCACCCCTCTCCTGTCTGCTGATTTGCTGCCTCTTCTGTTTCCTTTCTGTTCAGTCCCCAAAGCATTTTGGCAAGGTTCAGATTTCTGTGCTCACAGCTCAGTGCTCAAAGAGAAAAGGGAAAAACAAAGGCCTGAGGGAGGGTGGTGAGGAGGGAGAGTCACTTATTGCCCTATCCCAGGACTGAGCTCTGGGACAGAGCACTGAGGGGTGAAGTTAGCGAGAGCCTCGTCTTTCCAGGGAGAGTTTCTCCTCCACATAATTCTCTGCTGTATCGTTTTGTCATCATCTGCATAAACGGTGCACTTGCGGTCATCCTGGCTGTATCTCCCACTGTTCAGATTGAAGTTTAAACATCTGGGTTAATTGATTAGACGAAAACGTATGTAAGAGTATTGGGATAATTCTTAGTTCTTGAGCTGTGAAACCTTAGAACTACATTCTGTTTATTCCCTTGCAGGGCGTGGTGATCCTGCCATGTGTCCATCCCCCACAATGCCCTTGACTTCAGTGACAGTTATGCACGTGGAAGAACTACAGGATTAGCCCTTTTAGTGGAAAAGTCTTGCCTGGCTGGAGAAAAATGACATTAAGTTAAACAGACCACTGTCAGTGGCCCACTCGGCAGGAATTAAATTAAAAACTCTGTTTCTGCCTGACTGTTCACATTGCATCACCCATGCAGCAGTAGAGACAAGATCCCTATGGGAAAGATTACAAGTTGTTATATTTTTTTAAACAGATACCAAAAAGATCACAAGAGCTGTTTGGGTCTGTCAAATAGTGTCAGACTGTGACTAACCCCTCTTCTTGCTCTTTCTTACAATTTGGTTTGGGGGGAGGGGAGAGTGATGCCAAAAGTCAGAGATGCTGAACCTTAAGAAGATGAGAACTCAGATGAGTTTCCTTCTTCCCAAATCCCACTCCAGTTTTGGTGAAGCGTTTGTGTTGCAACTGTAGAACTGTTTTAACCCCCAGTTGTCCTTTTTCCTCCACTGGGTGCAAAGTGATGGGGACATGTATGAAAAGGTAATGTTAGGTGTGCTCTAGCTTTGTATTTTGGTAAACATAAGATTGGTACTGCAATCCTGTTTAGCCTGATTCCGCTTGTGAGTCATCCTCCGGCAACAGCACCTTGCTAATGCCTTACAGAATGCACATTGCATCTTCACTAGTAACTGGTGAACTCCAACTGTGTAAAGGTCAGAAATTCTCTGTCCCCCACCCCCTGTACTTTGAAAACAATCACAGTAGATACTGGGCTATCTTAGTGGATTGTGTCCACTGTTTGTTGAGTGTTAGTCAAACAGCATAGCGAAAAGGCTCAGGGGAAGCAATTTGAATATACCTTTTTACAAAAGTTTCCCATACTCTGGCTAAGACAGAATGCTAACTGACTGCTTTTAATGCACAAAAGTAAGTGCCCTGCAGACAAGGGAGTCCTAAATGGAGTAATCTCATGGGTCTCCTTTCTTCCTGTGTGCTTACACTACATTCTCCTGTGAGCTGCACTTTTTCCATGGTAAGTTATCTGAAAGGACAGATAGACGTCACACCATATACCTTTTCTTAGCATAAAGTAAGATGACTCTTTAAGTTGGGGTGGGGAACCTCAGATCCAGGGGCCAGATGCAGCCCCCGTCTGGCCTCGATCTGGCTCCTGATGCTCAGGGCCACCCCTAGCATTGGGGAGTCTTTACTGGTGCTCCAGCCCTCTGCTGCACCACTATGGGGCTGGAGCACACAAAATCCCCCCCTTGGGCTCTGGTGTGTGAAGGAAATGTGGGGAGTGATTTTCTCCTTCTTATTCGGGGGCAACGTCAGTGAGGTGTTTTTTCTTTAGTTTTGTTTTTTGCTTCTAACTTGTGTGTGGCCCCTTGCTGATTTTTCTGTCAGTCAGTGGCTCCCTACCCAAAAAAGGTTCCTCACCCCTGCTTTAAGCCCTGCACAAGGCAGATACCACCAGAGTGCTGACCATTTACCAAATATTTTGATGTCCCTCATGATTCCTGTTAATATAGAGAGAATATTATCTTATGCAGGTGATGGTAGGTCTCACCATGGATGATACAGTCTTTTTAATTACCCTCAGTATTGTCTAATGACTAAACTAGAAAAAAATAACTTCTCGAGTGCTATTCTTTTCTGCCACTAATGCATGGTGTGGCCATTGACAAGTCACTTAACCGCTCTGTCTCATTTTCCCCATTTGTAAAATGTGCTTTTCTCTCCCGTCACGAGGGATATGGTGAGCTCTGTTTACACTGCTTTGGGTACAGTGTAATATGTATATTGGAAGTGGTGTTGCTAATGGAAAGATTCCATCATACATTTCTGATAAAATAATACAAAAAGCATTTAATCATATTCCTCTGTTATCAATAATTGTATAATTGGAATAGCTGGAGTCTAATCAAAGAGTTCTTGGCACTTTAAATGTTTTTCTCATTATTGAGTATTCTTCATTCTCTACACATTAATACAGCCATGTATTTAACACAGTGTTAGGCATCTGTATTCAGTCTGTTGCAGTGATTCTCAAAGTATGGTCCGTGGACCACTTGTAATGGGCAGCCTACATTGGCACTCCTGTCCTGCCCCTGCCTCTCCCCACGTGGTTGGAGTGCCAGCCCTAGTTTCCTGCTGGTGGCGGGGGACTTTTTAAGCTGTGAAACTTTTTAAATTAAAATTAAGTAATTGTTATATTGCATAAACTTTTAACCATTTTGAGTAAATATAAATCTATGAATTACCAATAGAAAGAAAATTACCAATGCATTCTCTCAATATGTACAAGATTTATGTTAATCACAAAGTTTATCCTTTTTATAGGTCACTTCCTGTATTACACATTCTAAGTGAACTCCATTGTATTGAAAGAAGCCATGTATTTTTCACTTTTCTTTCAAGGAAAGGGTGTTTAGGGACAGATCATGTGACCTGAGAGCACCTTTTTCCTTTAAAAAAAAAGTCAAATGTTGAGAGCAAGATACCTGCTTCTCCTCAGGGAAAGGAGCAGCAATTGCATTTGTGGCCTCTCTTCCTCCCCCCATGCTTTTTGTCCTTTCTTTGATTCCCTTACCTATTTGAAACTACTGCTTAGCATGTATGAGTGGGAATTTCAGGCAGTGTTCCTGAACAAGTGTTTTAAATGAGCTCACTACTGACAAGTAAGGAAAACTTCCTTTGTTTAAGGGGGAAATGTAGGCAACAGAATGAAACTGTTCAGTTTCTGCCTTCCTCCTTCCCATCACCCCTGGGGATGGGAGAGGTTTTATGCTTCTTACTAAATTGCAGTGCCTCAACTTCATTGAAACATTTATATGTGCTTTTGGACAGAAGGCCTGGGCTGGTGCTAATAGATATGTAGTAAAATCTTTTCAAGGTTTACTTTTCAGTTCTTGCAAGAAACAAGTACTGAGGATTGGATTGATTATAGGGGAAGTTGGTGTAGAAGAATGAAACTTCTGCAGAAAAAAGAACAAGTTCACTTGTGATTATAGTGGTGCCTGCAGGGGAATGGCCTACCTGATCCAGAGGATGGTACTCTCTCTGGTACAGTACACATCAGGTCTCCTGGGGTTTCCTGCTCTTGGTCTGTTGAATGAGTATTTTGAGGAATTTGATCTTTGTTTCTCCCATCCTTTCTCAATAGGAACTGGAAGCTGCTCTTCATAGGGATGATGTGGAGTTTATCAGTGACCTGATTGCCTGCCTTCTTCAGGGTTGCTATCAGCGTAGGGATATCACGTGAGTAATCTTCCTCTATGATTTAAGCTCTTTTGCAAGGGAGCTAATTAACATAGTTGCAGGGATATTCTGTAGCTTCAGAATGATGATATGGAAATGATCTGCAGTCACCGATGACCTGGCCAGATTGCTCCATAAATGCAGTGGGGTGCCATTTCTCTCTTGCGCTAGCTCCTACTTAAATCACACAACTTTACTTTTCACAAACACCACTCTTTGGTAATTAAAAAAAAAAGTATCTCTTACCCGAGCTCACACACCAGTCTTGTGCACTATGTATTATTTCTCTTCACTGTTAGGACATGTCTACACAGCAGGGCTCAACTCAAAATAAGCTACGCAAATCGAGCTACGTCAATTGTGTAAGGGTATGTTTACATTACCACCCTAGTTCGAACTAGGGTGGTTAATGTAGACAACCGAAGTTGCAAATGAAGCCCAGGATTTGAATTTCCCGGGCTTCATTTGCATTTTGCCGGGCGCCGCCATTTTTAAATCCCCGCTAGTTCGGACTCTGTGCCCGTGGCTACACGCGGCACGGAGTAGGTAGTTCGGATTAGGCTTCCTATTCCGAACTACCGGTACACCTCGTTCCACTACCTAATCTGAACTACCTACTCCGTGCCGCGTGTAGCCACGGGCACAGAGTCCGAACTAGCGGGGATTTAAAAATGGCGGCGCCCGGCAAAATGCAAATGAAGCCCGGGAAATTCAAATCCTGGGCTTCATTTGCAACTTCGGTTGTCTACATTAACCACCCTAGTTCGAACTAGGGTGGTAATGTAAACATACCCTTACACAATTGACGTAGCTCGATTTGCGTAGCTTATTTTGAGTTGAGCCCTGCTGTGTAGACATGTCCTAACAGTGCTCACAGGAGGCCCCCAACTTGTGACGTGAGGAAGTCACAAGGGGAAGCATCGCAAGTCGGGGGCGTCTTAACTCAAACCCTCATTTATGATAGGTGCCATGTGCCATCGAAAATGCGGGCCGAGGATGTAAATCGGGGGGGGAGGGGGCTGGCCCTTTCTGCACTTATAAAAATGGTTGTAAGTGCAGGGGGTCAGAATTTGGGCAGTCACAAGTCAGGGGCCTCCTGTATTTTGAGTTTTGATTCTGTCTATGCAGCACTTATTTCAAAATAGAGCACCCTTCCTCTGACTTCCCTTACTCCTCATAAAATGAGGGTTACAGGAGTCAGAGTAAACAGTCCTCCTGCTTGACAGTATTTTGACATTATGTCAAAATAACTGCTGGCTGTGTAGACACGGGCTATGTTATTTTGAAATAATGTTGCTGTGTAGACATAGCCTACGTGATCAGGATATTTCTGTGTTCTTTGTATTCTGCCCTCTCTGCCTGATAGATTTAGGGATGTCACAATAAGTGTTTGCAACACCTTAATTGTTTTGATTATGCCAAATTATTTTTAAAATGACAAGGGATTTTATCTAGAAATGAGTTAGATAACAGGAGTGGAGAGTCAAATGTAGCAACTATTTTCTTAGGAATAGCTAACACTTGGCCTGTGACATCAGAATGTTAGGTTGATGGTGTGTTGGCCAGGATTTGAGGTATCTTTCTTGAGATTTAAAGATCAAAAGGTCCTTTTTTGTTAATATGTACCTGGCTAGCAGGTAGATGTTAAAATATCTGCTCTTAAAAACGAGCAGAAACAAGTTCTGTAAACTATCATCCTTTAGAAGAGGTCCCTCCAATAGCAAAGCAATATGCCACCCTCAGCCCAAAAAGTGCTTTATAATGAAGCATTGAATTTCTATGAACTTGAACTGAGAGCAGAGCATATTTATGGATATGAAGAAATCTTGCTGCTGATGGTTAGTAACTAAATGGGTTCCACTGTATTGCTGGGATGGCACTGTACGTGATCTGGCAGAAACCTGAGTCTATAAGCAGCTGACTTATCGGGTAGTGCCCACAGACTGAGCCACACTGGTGCTTGCCATCCCTGATTGAATCTAGGGCACCCTAAACTCGAAATAAGATACGCAATTTGCATAGTGCAAATTGCGTATCTTATTTTGATTCTATTTCAAAATAGCTTATTTTGAAATTTGGTTCACAGCGCCAAATTTTGAAATAACGCGCACTATTTTGAGCTGTCTCTTATCCTTTGTGCAACAGGGAAAATATTTCAAAATAAAGGGTGTCTTGTGTAGACGCGGGTTAGCTATTTCAGAATACCTCTGATATCCCAAAATAGCTGTGCAGTGTAGACGCACCCTAAGATGGAGAGTAGGCTGATCAGAAAGCAGCTGATACCATTGATACTGCTTCTATCAGAATAAATATAACAGTGCTGTGTAATCCTGACTGTGGACTTAATGGTGCCAGGTGATTTCTATTTCATCTATTAGAACTAGAAAGGAACAGTCGGGCCATCTCATCTAATGTCTCTTAGCCAGTGCAGGACTGTGTCCTAAGTATATTTTTCAGTGTTTTGTCCAGGTTACTTTTACATGTCTCAGGCATTGGCGTCTCCATAACTTAGTTTAGGAGGCTATTCTGCAGTTTAATGCTAACATGAAAGGCACTCCTAAACTAGATTGAGTGTCCATATGTGGGCTGCACTGATTTAACTACATCGGGTTAAAAATGATTTAATTAAATGAATACAACTTCTCTGTGTAGATTAACCTGGGTTAATGCAACAGGTGGAAGAAATGGACCGGACTGTAGAAGAAGGAAGGGGTAACACAAGGGGCCTTTTGTGCAGGCTAGTTGTGTGTTCAATGTATAGCTTACCACCTCTGTAGCCATTCTCATTTGTAATGAGGCCTGCATATCCGTGATATTAGGTACTCTGGTGCGGGCAGCCTTGGAGGCAGGCCAGACTTGTCCATCAGAGGTAGGGTTGATGTGGCTTTATCCCTGACATATGCCAGATTTCATCTACTTATCTAGCTGCAGGCAGGCAGACCAGCTCCTTTGTGCTGCAGAGCAAACCTGAAGAAGGAAAAAAAGGGGAGGAGGGGAGGCCTTTAAAAATCCAAGTTGTAAACAGAGGAGGTTACTTTTCTCCTCAGCTGCTGGGACTCCTCATGCCCCCTGCTCACCCATCCAAAGTGCAGCTGGCAGAGAGGGCTAAGAGAGAGGAAGCAGACACCTTGGCTCCGGCACTTCCCTTGCTGATAAAGTGCCTGTATAGCCGTGGTCACCAACCGATAGATCGCGATCTCCTGGTCGATCTCAGGGGCTCTAAGAGACAATCTTGAGCCCTCTCTGAACTGCGTGCCTGCGCAGTACATTTACATTTGATTTCCTCATTTGAGGAGCAGCTACTCACCAAGAAACAACACAGGTGAGTAGCTGCGAGGAAAGGTGGGAGCTGGGAGGTCGGGAGGGCTGAAACCCCCCAGCCAGCTGGCTGTGGCTTTCAGCTGAAAGAGGCTGCCCCACGCTCCAGCTGATCGGGTGGCTTCTCCTCTGCATCTGCCCACGTGGAGCGTGGGGCACGCTGGCTGAGCGCCATGGCCAGCTGGCCAGGCAGCCGCTTTTCTTCGCTCCAGCCCCGGCGGGATGGAGGCTTCTCTCTGTGGCTGGTGTAGGGGACTCCCTGCCCCCGAACCTTGTTCCCTCTCCCCTGCCTCAAACCTGTCCCCTGCCCTCCTGCCTCGCTGTTCCCTCTCCCTTAAC